GGTTCAGGGTTTAGGGTTTAGGCGGGAGTGCTTCGGTCGAGGAATCCTGGATACTTGAGCCACTGTGTTGTACTTACTCGCAGGAGTAGATCTTCGCATACTTCTGGTTTCCGTGTTGTCTGCTAGGTTTGTAAACCGGAGACCGGAAACCCAGACTCCTAAGCCTTAAACCCAGAGTCTAAGCTCTATAAGCCCGGAGCCTGAAACCCAGAACCTAAACCCTAAAGCCTAAACCCTTAATTTCCTTAATTAATTCCTAAACCCTAAACCCTACACTCTGATATTTTGCCAACTTGTCGTCCTCACATGAAGCCTAATGCGTTTCTGCTTATTCTTGAGCGAACCCCAAAGCGAGATGCTCTGACCTACCGTGGCAGCTACATTTAGTTACCAAAGAGACGTCCCAGATTCCTGGTGTGATTTGGTAATGATAGGATATACCCTTAATGGACCTCAAAATGATGTTGGTACGTAGTTACTGAGGTCCCTACAGTAGGTGATCAGAGTAGTGGTTCGTGGCAAGCGAAGTTTGCATAGCGTGTCACTTCTCTGTGTGGAGTTGGCTTGAAGCCGCGCGAAGCGCGACAGTTTTTTAGTTGAGTAAAGCCTGTGCCGCCGATGGCTTCAACGTCTTCGTCGGTGCCCCCCTCTTCCAGCACGGAAAGACCAGCCGGAAGAGACTGGCGAATTTATTCTAAGTTGCCATGGCATGGGTACATTAATGTGATATAACTAGAGGTTTCTTATATGCGTAACAAAGGTAGTGTAATTATCTTCCTTACCAGCACCCGCATCTAGTCCCTAAGCATGCTGTTGTCTTCCATTCCCTCATTCCTCAAGCTTGCCACCAAAGAGCAACCTAGGGGAGTGTAGAGGAGATATGTATTGGACAAAAGGAGTTCCTTCTGAAAACCCCAAGGGTCCAAGTACCTAATAACCATACACTCTCCAAAATCCTAACCTACATAACTACTACCCTAAAACCGAGTACCTATTTGTTGGGTCCTTTGGACCCTTAGGGAAATAGCCTCTCGGCAGCAACCAAGGAGAGCCCAGTACGAGGAAGAACTACAAAATCCATGGCAGCTTTCTCCGTGCTCGCAGTGAAATTGGCAGCAAGGAGTATTGGGCAAAGCTCCAGATGGTGCTCAGGAGCCTCTTCGGGAGGTTTAGGGTAGAGGGTTCAGGGGTTTAGTATTTAGGGTTTGGGGGAGAGCTCCTTGTTACTTTAAGGCTTAGCGAGGTCCTGGGGATTTATATTTTGCCCGACTGGCTTCACAGGGGACCCTATACGTGCATATCGCTCAAAGGTTTAACGGGCCAACCCAGAATCAATTCTTAATTTAGGGAGACTGTCGATTGCAAACTTGATAGGTGGTTTCCACCCTAGGCCCTAAACCCTAAACCAGTAGTTCTAGCCAGGTAATCTCCGATAGCGTTTTTTCGGTGATCTTATAGATAACGGTGGAATGTCGTAACATTCCTAGCCTTAAACCCCAAGCAAAAGCCCTAAACCATTAAACCGGTAAGCCCTAAACCCCTAAAGCCCTTACAAAACCCTAAACCGTAAACCTAAACCCGAAAAACCCTAAAGCCCTAAGCGCTCAAGACCTCAAACCCCAGGAGCTACTACTTGGCCAACTTCATGGCCGCAGTGGTCCTGTTTGATGCATACTGCACCTTGCTGGTGCTTAAGGTAGAGTGGCTCCCTGCAGGGTTTAGGGTTTAAGGGTTTAGGGCTTTAAGGGCTCTAGGGTTTAGGGCATAAGGGTTTAGGGTTTAGGGGTTTAGGGTTTCCCATATAGGTATAGTTATATCCCTATCATAACCCCCCGTCCGCTCTTCTGGAAGCAACACTGAGGCACTTGTATAGATATTGATGCAACTGCAGCCGGTGAGGAGCCCCCACAGCTCTTTGCCTTCCTCTCGGACTGTCCGCGGCAAATAGCCTCCTGAACCTTAAACCCCATAAAACCATCCTTAGAGCCCGCCCGAAGCTCACCCCAAATGGTTAACTTGTTCAAAGCAATCCTAAACCTAAATCGCCACTTCATCTCCTGACATACTATAATCCTTATTGTGGTCCCCGCAAAAGCTCTGCATAATTTTGGGACACCCCCGCAGCTACTGGCCAGGACTGTTGCCTCGTGGCTTACACTCTGGAGGTGGCAAGTTTGCTGGTGGCATTTGGGGCCAAGGATTTGCTTAGCGATTGGATGATGGTGGTGGACGTCATCATTGTCGCTTGGTAGGCCTTATGGACATTTTATATTTCCCCTTATTGGGCTTAAGAGGATCATGCTTACGAATATTTTTCAGAGGCTTTGAGGAGCCAACCTAGGTCGGCTGCGGTTGGGCTGAGATCATCATCTCATCGGCTGCTGGAAACTTCGGCTTCCGAACTGCCGTGCTGCGTGCGCTGCGGCTGGTGAGGATCTTCAGGCTCATACGGCTGTTGAAGCTCGGAGATGGGATTCAGATTTTTCGTTTTTTTGTTTTGGGTGGGCTCTGGATGATTTAGGTACTAGTCTATAGTCGAAGCTCCTTAGCGAGGGTCTTATGGGGGATTATACAGTTTTTATTAACGGGGATACTAGGAGGTTGAACTAAAGCTCATGTGGTTTAAGCTCCTGATGTCAAATCCGCGTAACCCCTGTTTGCCCTTAGTTTCCAGTTGGATTTCCAGCATCTTGCTTTCCGCGCTCGATTCTTTATTATATGGTAACATGGTAACTGAACCCTAGACACGCGAACCCCAATCGTAAGTTAGTTTTGGAGAGACTGCCGTTTGAGTTTCGTGACGCCAACCTAGGCCCTAAACCTCAAGCGCTATACTATAGGGCCTTAATAATTCCCTACACTATTTAGGGGGCTCCTTATTAACATTATAGTATAATGGGCCCGAAACCCCTATTATAATTATTAAGGGCCCTGCATTACCCTAAACCCTGAGCCTTCCACCCAAATCCCGACACCCAAACTCTATGACTCTAGTATGATACCCTTTGTTACACAAGCCCCTAAAGGATTCAACAGATGGAACCCCTAATATCCCCCTCGTTTCCCTAGTGTAGTACTGGGTCCATTTTGGGTGGTCCAATTTTGTGGATCCTTCACTTGGATGGGTAGCTGTAAGTGGGATCATACATCTACTAACAGAGGTTCTAATGTATAGTTACCGTATGTATAACCCCACTAAACCCCAAACCCTAAACCAAGTAGGGGGTGTGGGAAAGTTCTTCCACACCAGCCCAGCAAAAGGAAGAAGATCCGCCCACTGCGGGAGCTGCACAAGCTGGTGCCTTCTTTTCGGTCCTAGGGGTTTAGGGCTTTAGGGTTTGGGGTCTAGGGCTTTCGGGCTTTGAGGTTTAAGGTCTCGGGTCCAGGGTTAGGCGGGTTAGGTAGGTTGAGGTGGTTGTAAGTGGTGGGCTTGGGGCGTCGTAGGGGGTTTCAGGAGGATGTAGGGAGAGATGTGCAGAGCTTCAGAGCTTAGTTTTGTGATTTTGGGGGTCTTGGGGTCAATGGGAAAGGTAGATATAGCGCCTCCCAAGGTATCGCCTAAACACAGAGTAGGCAAAGGGCATGTGCTTTAAGTGTCCACACCCCGATTCCCGAGACCGTTTCACTGAGACTCTTGTTTGCACCTTACGAGCAAACGAATCCTACCCAGTTTGTCAATGCCTCCCTATTGCTGGTATCGCTGCCCAACCAGTCTTTTTGTTTATCTGCTGCCGGGTCACGTTGAGCTGACTCTGAAAGGCTTCGCAGTCTACCTTGTTTTTACAGATACTGGTAGCATGGCCACAAAAGACCTGCTCATGGTCCGGAGTAGATGCTTGTGTGTTGACCTCTTCATCGGCCTCACTTCTATCCAAATCGATGGGCATGAAGCCGGACTCTTGCCGATCAATGAAAGCGACTGTGAAGAAAACCGGATACAACGGTTGTGACTATAGGAACGGCGTGCACGTAAGCTTAAGTGCGCATGACTTCGGGCATACGCATGGTGATTATGTGACATACCACTGCAGGCTGATTCGTACAAAGCTAACTCGGACAACAGATTGAGTGGGGGGGGGGCGTATATTTGATCAAAATTTCAAAACTAGTAATTAGTCCTTTTCTTAATTATAAAATGTACCCAGAAACCCCGATTCCAAGTAAAGTAGGCCCCTGAGCCCCAGCATAACCCCAGTTTCATCTCAGTTTCCATGGTCTTTTGAGGCAAGTCCCTGGGGGTTTCCC